TCCCTAATCCTAAAAAGTTTGCAACAAAATCTATGGGGAGTATGAAAAAGAATATGAAAGTTACATTATATCTTGACATTTTTGCTCTTCTACTTCACGTTCTTGCAAAGAATACAACACGAATCTACGACTGGTTAGTCCGGTAAACCGCCCTTCACTTCGAATAAACTCTGCAGGACATGGAGCGTGCATCGGCATGAGATTCCCAGGTCCATACGCCAGCATGAGATTCCAAAGGCGCAAACACTGTCATCGTCGTCCCATTGCTGCTATTTGATCTAAAATGCCATTCGACCAGCAAGCCTGCCCTCCATAATCCTTCTGTCTATGGCAGCATCAATTGAACTCATCTGAAAAAGAAAACCGCAATGAGATCATCAGAGAGGGACCGTGTGCATGATTCACTTGGTTAAGCCAGACAAAATGGATTGGTCCTATGATCTAACCGAAGAGATACCAAACTTTATGAAAGAATCTGACCTGGCCAAGTCTGGTTTCACCGTTCAATGATAAAATAATGTTGCTACAATTAACAATAAAATTGTTGGTCTTGCCATTGTTTCACTCGAACCCCCACACCGCAAAAGAAAGCGTGGGGAGAGTGAACAACAGATAAATCTAAATTTTAAATGAGCAAATATATACATTCCATAATTAACTGAGTACGATGCTAGATAGGAGAATCCTTGAGGCCATAGAAGCAAGCTTGTCAAAATTGTAATCACTAACTAACAGCAAAATTATTGTAAATACCTACTTGAACCTTTTGATGCAGTTGCGTGGAAACCGGAGAATGGCAGTATAAACAAAACAGCATGCCCATCAACCAATTGGGTTGGAAAGCAGAAAGACAGATGATTGAAGGTTCACATGTTCTTTGTTAATTTGTTTCGTTTCAAAAGTAAAAGTTCAAATTCATACAGTAAATACCTCTCTAATCAGGAAACAATTGGTAAACAACCCAATCTGAAAAGCCTGAACATAAAGCCTACCTAGCTGGTTAGAGCAATGCAACTCCGTAAATTAAAGAGGTAGTATGACTTACCTGGCTAGTTTCATCATGCACCTGATACTTTGCCAATGACATTCTTCTTTCCTCCTGCAAATAAAATTAACCAATTTAACAAGTTAGCAACAAGTTCCTAACAAAAAACAAGTTAGCAACAACGAACAAGACTAGCAAAGTGGAAAAATAATCATTTAGGAAAATTAAGAACGACTTACCATGGACATAGCCTCATCATCCCAAACTAGATACACCTCATTAGCAGCTGGCTGGGGAGCAGGAGCTTTGTTTGCAATTACAGGGGGTGGTCCAATTGATGGACCACCAGTGTTCGGACCAGATGCATAAGAGTGTGAATTAACACCTGTAGTAATTAAATGAAAAGGATACGTCAGATTCACAAGCCTTGCACATATGAAATCAACAATCCAAAGGCATCATCAACATGGAGAGTTAAGCAATGTGGGAGGTATTCATTATTGCAGCAGGAAAATAAATAAGGGTTAGCATACCGGAACAATTACTAGAAGGAACATAAAAGATGCCTTTGTAATATTCAAACATTTAAGATAACAGAGCCAAAACTAGCCGTTGATAGCATATCCAAATTTGAAGTGACTAAAACAGAACTCTCTACAAGGATCTCAAAAAGCAACTTGAATGCTAAAGAACAAAAGAAAATCTGAGGCATCTACAACTTATTTTATCAGACATGAGGGATAAGTAGAAGTTAAAGCAAGAAGACAGCTCTGACACCATACTGCTATCATGCACGCAAAGGAAAAAAAACATATTTTTGAATTTTTTGACTTTAAACGAGTCGAACTCTTCCAACACTAAAATAATCTTCAGTTTTGAAATTTTCGAAATGCAGACAGTTTGAATTGCTTTTAAACGATAAAACAATAGTAGAAAAACAATAACTAAACGAGCAATTATATAAATCAATAATAAGAAATCAAAACTGAGGCACTTAGATAACTACTTGTTTGGAAAGCTTTAGCACCTTGATAAGCATCTGTTGAGCCTTTAACTTCAGCTGGAGAACTAAAGGGAACACTGATTGAAAGCAAAGGAGGAGAAAAGGGAGAACTTTGTGTTGGTACATTATTTATACCAACAACAGGAAACAGGGGTTGTGATACAGGAGCAGGAGGCATGGATGTAGTAAGCCCAGGAGGAGCTATATGTGGAGGCAGAGGTCCGGGGATTGTTGTTGATGGTAGAGGTGGCCTCCCATTCTGCACAGGGAACAATGGTTGCTGCACATAACCCAATGAGGAAGGAGGAGGTACTGAGACTGATGGAGGCTGTGGATACCATGGCTGGGGACGAGGTGGAACTTGCCAACCATTCGGAGGCACTCGAACTGCAGAACTGTACCTGGAGTGAACAAAAACCAAAAGAAACAAACAGATAAGTTGTTTATGTAAATGCTAATTATGTACTGCAGACAACATAATTTTAAAATTTCACAAAGCTGGTTAGAGAGGATATGCAAGAAACCTGACAGAAAACATACATTGGCCGCATTGCACCCAAAGGTGGTTGGGGAGGATATGCAATCCCCATCGAACCTGGCACCATACCACCAACAAACTGGGTTGTTGGGATGTCTACTTTAGCTACTTTTGATGGACCATCTTCATCTGCATATAAATAGAGATATTTAGAAAATAAACTTACTATACAAGATTAATACTATAACTGCAAAAGAAGCCATAAACTACTCAAAATGATAGGTATTGTACACTTTTTCTTGGTTTGATTTGTCTTTAGCTTATAAATGAGACGTCACTTTCAAATTTATTGCACAGACAAGATAACACCATGACAAAACATGTTATGCAGAATTCGTATGCACAGATTAGGACATCCGGATCCATGTGAATGAGTATTTGCAAAAGTATACATAAGCACAACTTGGTTCAACCAAGAACACATGAGAATTTGAAAAACTATTACATGGGCAAAATACAACCATCAAACAACTTATATTACACGGATACTGCTATGAACACTCTGATGGTATATCTAATTCAATACAAACAAAGAAGTTCAATATCAATGAGTCCATCTATGCATAGTTGCATGTACCAGCACATCCAGGTCATAATTTAATGTGAGTCAAACCCAACGATATCATAAACCAGTTGAATTTGAGCATTAAAATAAAATAGAAATTCACATGTCATCAAATACCAATGATGTTAACATAACATTAAAATAAAATATCAAAAATTGTCTGGATAAACATCAATATTTGTATGGATCCTTTACCTTCCTCTCCATAATGTGCAGCCAAAACGTGAGGTGGGATTCCTTGCATCCCATATATTTCAATATCCGTCGACTCCCTGTCAGCCTTCGCATTGGGAACCCTATAAAATAGAGTTTTAACAGTTTGAAAATCAGTAGAATGAAATTATGATAAGGAATTATTTGAGGCACAACTTATATATAGTCAACATTGTTTAACCCTACTCTATAATAGTTCATGAAAAAGATCCAGTGAGATAGTGTAACTACAAACAATTAGTAACTATAACCGTCTATGACAAACTTATTATGTTCCAGTTAGAAAAATTGAACCATGGCTTTTGATTATGTTTTTTTCTTATTAGAAAAATGGAAGACAGGTAACAGTTCAAGTAGAAATATATTGACAGTTACATTTTGGTCCTAACTCCTAATACAGTAGACAAAGTTTAAGTTTAACTTCATCATCAGCATATATTCATATCCATTACAGAACTACCTACGGGCATAAAAACCCTCTTAAACTTATACGGGTATAAGCAAGAAAATTTAAAAGCTTTAACCATATTAAGATCCTCCCAATTTCTTTCCTTAGCAAAGCACTTTCACCCAAGCTCCAAAATTTTCTACAAGTTGCCAAAGCTTACTATCATTAAAATTGAATTTAACAAAATCAAAAATTCGATAAATAAATATCATAAATTTACACAGCAAAAACAAAAACTCATCAATATCATATTCTAAAATAACAAATTCAGCGACGAAACAAAAAGAAAAAGAATTAGGGTTTTTGACAATTGGGGGAAAAGGTATAGAAAGCCATACTTGGTGACGCTCTCTTTGTGGACCTGGAGGACGTGAATGGCCATGCCGCCGGCGGTGGAGAGCTTCTTGTGGCAGACATGGCACTTAAAATGCTTGGCTTTCTGGTGCTGCACCAGTATCTTCTCATCGTCGAACTCTCTATCGCAGTAGTAACACCACACCTTCGACGCCACTCTCTTCTTCTTCTTTCCCATATTTCCCTTCTTCCCCCTCTACCCTCCTTCTGCAACCCTTCTTCTTCCTCCTCTGGTTTTTCTCCTGCTTGTCTTCCTCTCTCTCTCTCTCTCTCTCTCTCTCTCTCTCTGTATGAGCCTTCGGTTTTGGTATTTGGGTTTTTGTTTTGGGGTTTTTTCTCCCTGTGATCTGTGATTTGTTGAATTTCATGTATTTGTATTTATTGTTTATAAATTTTTATTTTTACCGATTCAGTAATTGGCTAGGGCTTTTTCCAATTGGTTTTAGTAGACTAGAAATAAATATAAATTTATAAGGCTGGACACATATTGGGTTTACCCGAGTTGAGGGCCAACTCACTTCTTGACCAGCGTAGTGTCATTAATTTACGTATTATGTTATATGACAACGTGATAGTCACACTCAAATTTACTGAAACGCATGTTGTCTCATGAGAGTGTAATTCATCAATTTTCTTTCCTTTGGACGAAAAGTTTGTTACTTGATAAAGTTTAGACCTGAAATTACTTAATCAAACCGCCATTCGCAATTGATCTCATCTAATTATGTTGCGATTTAATAACTCTCTTTCAATAAGATATAGGACATGTTACTTACCGGGAATTGGTATTCATGGGTATCATTCTCATTCCCGACATATCTTGCATTTACTGACACACATGACATGCCCTGAACGTGACTTTCCATGATCTTTTACACATACAACCCATCTCAGTTAGTTCCATCCAAAATGTTTGACAATTGCCATGAGTTAAGAAAAAAATGTAAGAGTACCATTTTCCTCCAACACTCAGATTTAACTGAAAGACAAAGGGTGATTGAGTACATCTATAGTTGCTAGTAAAATTACAACCAGAAAGAAGCTTGTGATAACATCGTCTCAGGTTCAATAGCAGCTGGCAAAGACGAAAGTAAGCGTACATGTATCAAATGGATTCTTAACCAATATCTAGCCTGCAGACTGCAGCATTTAAATTTAAGTTCTTCGTTCTTCCTACAGTGGAAACGGGGAAGCAGCATATCCTACTCTTCTTTCTTGGAGGATTGGGAAGAACCATCAGTATCACCTTTTAACTTGCTTACACTAGCTTCGGCTTCAGCAAGAAATGCAGGATCAGGCTTGTGTTGGTCTGAAGGCTCTTTCATTGCCATGTATATGTAAAATGCGATAACTACGTTGACAGATATAACAGCAAGGAATCCACTCAACAACGTGAGTGAATAGGGAGACATGTCGCTTACACCTGCTTCAAATGAATAACCACCTTGCTCAGAGAACCAAAAAGGAAAACTGAGGCAAGAAACTTTAACAGAAAACAACTAGTAACCCCATTCCCAAATCCTAGCTAAAAAAATGTTGATCCAGTTATCATATACTTCTCCAATAAGGCAAGTCGTGAGATCAAGTCCTAAGATTGTTGACCACAGACATTCACTCACAAGATTGTGATAAGGGCATGCCTTCTCTGTAATTTTGTTATATGCACGCAAGGGATTATGTTCTCTCTTTAAGTTTCCTACAACAGTAGTGCCTTAGACAAGATTATCCACGTTCGGAAATCTAACTTCTAACAGTTGGCACTAGTTATACTTGACGATAGGATGCCATCTTCATCTTATAAATCACATTCACTGTAGCAATAATGTAATTCGCAAAAACAATATAGATCCTAATGACAATTTTTTCACGGAGGTCATTAGTTGAAATTTGGAAGCAAGATTTAGAAAACTTAATTGAGATAAAAATTTCAATTATCACAACACTAAGAGTGAGATGGACAAACTCTAAGGTGCCGTAGGAACTAAAAGCTTTTGTGTCTCTCAGTGTGGTGAGCACTGGGTGTTTCTGAGCAGCGAGGTTTACACCCATTTGCATTAGTTCATCCAAAGTTCCTTTCCCTTATGCACAAATTATTGAATAAGCCATCTTCCTATTAATGTTAAGGGGTCAACTGAGCATCTCACCGGTGGGATTGCATACCCGGATCAAATCAGAAGGTCATAAGGACTTAATACAAAATGCAATCTAGAAATGGTCTGCTTATTTAGAACAAAAATGGGTAAGCACACAAACATTATAAAGAAGAATACTTAGGCAGATAATTGTATGGCAATATAGCACTAAGAAGAAAACCACCGCATAACTAGTGCAAGCTTTTCTTAGAATGACTCTAAGAGGGACCTCAAATAAGATGCAGTATTATGAAAATGACTTAAAGCAGCACTTGACACAGTAGCCTTACCAGGAAGCAAATTATTGTTAAACGCATATAATATTGCAACAGGAATTATCCACATAAACATTGACGCAGTAACAAACTTTTGTATCACGCCTGCCATTGTTATCTCCAATCTACAGAATTAAGAGGAAAACAATCAAAACCAACAGAACAATAAGTCATAAGCAAACATTACGGACGGAGATCTGTAAAAGACTATCAAGCCAGATATGCAACTAATAGGCCATATTCATAGTTCATTGGCATCATTGGTAGCATTTAGCTTATGCACGTGATTTCGGTACAAATAACTGAAACCAGTTCCTATCTGTACCTAAACATTATTCTTAATGATCGTAAATTCATTCAAATCGAAACTTAATCAAATACCCATGGAAAAGAAAGAATTGCTGACATGAGTGAAATACAAATTTGATATAGATGTCTCTTTAGGATACTTCTATGCAGGGCATAACTGAAGTATTAACTACTAGATTTTTACTGGGATATGAGATACCACTTGAAAGCAATCCATATACAAATAAAGACCAAAACTTTTCAGTGCAATCAATCAAGAATCAATCACCAGTGAACAAAGACGCCAAATTTCAAAACTTTACATGGTTTCTGAACAGGGTAACACAGTATGAGACTGACCCAGAAAGATCTAAGCTCACACAGACATTTAATCGAACACTTGGTGTGCGCATACTCAAACGACAAAATAATGAAGCGAGAAAGAGCGTACCCAAGCGACAGCCTTGGATCGGGAGGTTGAAAGTAAACTAGATACGATTTGACTTCCCAACGTTAGCTTGGCTGTTGTGCAAGCCGATCGATTCCGCTACAGAAATTGCATATTCTGTGTGATATAAAACAGCTCTGAAGTGGATGTTCGAACAATTCACTTCGGAAACAAAACCTGTGCTTTGGGTGCTGCAATTCAGAAGCAAAGCTTCAAAAACAAGAGGCTGCCTGCTGCGCTGGCTAGGTGCGCTACAATTATGAGCCGTTGAGATCTATCCTACGGTGAGTGGTTTAAACGAGCTCATGTGTAGAAACGGGTAAAATATTATGAGATCGTTTGAAACACCCAACTCCGGTAAAATATTATGAGGTCGTTTGGAGTGCTAATAACCGTCTCATAAGGAAATAGCTTATTTTTTCGCTATGATTTGTGTTCAATTTCAATATTTCTATTGAAACAAATTTTGTGTCACTTTATTTTCTAAAACACAATTTTCATCTCATTTTGTCACATTCTATCGAATTTTTAAGAAAACTCAAGTGTGGCCCACCTACATGCTGACATGTTTGCCACATTAGCTTGTCAAAGCTTTGGTTCCACCTCATCTCTGATCCTTATTTCGTCAAATAATACTTGGTTACTCAAACATGAGTATGAACTCTTAATAAAAAAATTTCAAAATTGTTCATTGTCAATTTATAAAACTTCATGTTTATAATCAAAACCGTTCAAATTATAAATCACCCTATAAAAATCATCTCCACAAAAAATCTATGATTAAAACAAAGTTCTATGAATGGTTTTGATCATAAACACAAAGTTCTATGATTAAAACACTAAGAATTTTAAGTAAGAACTCATACTTATTTTTGAATACCCAAGTATTGTTTTATTTTGTTGGCCGCTTTATGTGCCTCCAACTCGAACGGCAAACACACATACTAAGGCCTCGTTTGGCAGCTCGGACTGTACTGACTATTTCAGTCGGATAGGATAAATAGTCGTCGGATAGTACTGACTAAATTAATCGGGCGTTTGGTATTGTATCGGATTAATTTATGCATCGGATAATACGTCGGACTATAATATTTTTTTTTTAATTCACAATAATTGTTGTTAAAATTAAACAAAACAAAAAAAAAGGAAGAAAAAACAGAAAAAAAAAGAAAAACAGAAGAATAAAAAACCCAGGACTCTTCTCAGTCGCACCTTTCTTCTTCACCATCTTCCTTGCGCATCAATCCCACCATCGACGACCGATTGCAGAGGAGTAGCGGCCAGGGTCGATAACTCGGAGCCTATATTCGAATTCTTGTCCCCCTCCTCGTCGGAGCCCAGCTCCCTTCCTTATCGGAGCCCAGATCCGAGTTGCTACCCCCCTCCTCGTCGGAGCCTAGCTCTCTTTCTCGTCATCCTTCTCGTCATCGGAGTCCAGATCGAAAGAATTTGAATCATCATCTTCCTCCTTCAACCCATGGAATGTTTTGTTGTCAGAAATCAAAGGCGAACAGAGAGGTGGGGGTGTGTGTACAAAGAAGGAGGAAGGAAGAGAGACAGAAAAAAAAAATGGCGACGAAGACGAACTTGGAAGTAGACGAGAGATAGCAGGTGATGGGACAGAGTTGAAGGAGAGTGCGTGAGAGAGGGACGGAGTGAGCCAGTGTGAGCGAGAGAGATGCACCCGACTAATAATACAGAGGTTTGGGACGGGATAAACAAACGGGTATGAAGGGGATAAAACAAGTGGGGCCGGATTAAGTAATACGGTGCTTATTTAATACGACGTTCACCAAACATCCGCTTCGTATTATTAGTACTATCCGGTGGTATTATACGGCATGCCAAACGAGGCCTAAGTACTCTTGTTATACATTAACATATGATACTAAGTACTCTTGTTATATATTAACAGATGAAATAATCATTGCACATGCCACTTTATATAGAAAATGCTATCTCCACTTACTTTTGCCACCAAATTAATTAATAGTTTACTTCAAAGACAAAATCAATCTTGTGGGATTTGAACTTTTATCATTTTTAGCTTATTTATTTGGGAAATGTGATTTTCACACTTTTTATGTATTTTCTCTTTTTCATAGTTGTTGGATTGAATAAATAAAAAAAGAATTAAAGGATATACATAAAATGATAAGTCGAGAAAGAGTAAACAGAAATGCAAAAAACATTTCCTCTATAGCTAACATAATAAACCTATGTTTTCTAAAGCCCTTTGAGTTAGATCAATTGGTGAGAGAGGGTGATCTAATTCGTCAGAGTTAGAATTGATTCAGGTTATCAATCAACGGTGATTTTCTCACTCTTTTTTTCCCTTGGTGTTCTCCTCTCAATTATGTTTTCCATTCTTTGTAATGCCGGCAAGTTGGAAGGTATACATTAACATAAGAAAAACTTGTGAGATATGGAGACTAGTTTCCTACTCAACATTTTAAAAATGAATCATGACATATATCCCATCTTACTATGCTAACATATGATTGTTACCTTCATTCGAAGTTTTTGGAAACTTTCTTGTGGATGGAAGAATTAGATTATTTTTACTAACACATTGAGCATTACCAAAATTCCGTTAGACTATATTACAAGATGAAAGTACACAAAGAAGCCTAAACACAAAACACGAAAAAGCCCTGATTACATTAAAGTATTTATGCCCATTTGGCCAAGAGGGACATACATCCAGAGCCCAGAAGAAGTGAGATATTAGCCCCAACCTGGATCCTTAGATTGCTCTGCATTCTAGGGTTCATAAAATCTGCTGCTAGTAGGTCAACCAGAGCCATGTATATTAGGATCCCAGCTGATGCAGAGTTGAAAACTCCTTCCACGATTAGAGCACTTGGGCTGGTCTCGTTGTAAATGTTTGATATTCCCATTCCAACACCAATTCCAATTGGGGTTGTGAAGGAGAAGAAAAGCACCATTGCTGCAATGGCCCTGGACTTAAAGTTGGCCTGCACAGACAATGGAAACATCATTTATAAATGTAGAAATTGTAATGGAGTTTAACCTAACTCACAACTCTAAAATGTTTGGGATTTGGGGAGAGGGGAGATATTTTGTCTTGTCACCGGTACATCAGACAACGAAATTTGTACAAAGACAAGTGTATATATCTAGTGACAAGACAACTTTACATAACTGTGGGACTAGGGACCCTCATTGGTACCCTAAAAAATGAATGTTGACTTTCAAAAAATGCTGAGATGAACTGATGTGTGAGGCATTTTAGTCGTGATGAAATGCAGTTGGATCCTACAAAGGATATGCATGACCTCTGAATATGCACCTAGAAGATTACGTGACAACATCAACAAGACGACCATTTGGAGCTCTAAAACCCCACAAAATGGTACCCATATGGCCATGTGAAAATCGGTAAATGGCTAGAACATCATAATATGTATCCTACTATTGAATATCACATTGGAGGGGAAAGGTGGTTTATATTTGGCTTTTGAGAAAATTGGAGTATTGGTCTCTAAAAATTGCCTAATTAGAGTTTTAGTTATGAATTAAAAGTTCATGAGTATTGATCCTTTAATATGTCATAATAAGAAGCAATGGGTCCTTGTTAGTAATAGCATCAGAACTTCTGTCAAAGTAAATTGTTTAAAGGGGAATATAACATATGAAAGTTCATGGACCAAAACTCCAATTCGACTAAAATTCAATAATCAATCTAATTTTTTATTCCATATTTTTAAGAGTAATGCTAGGTAAACCAAATTTCTAGACCAAATTTGCAAATATGATGTCACTAATAGAAGAATAAGTATGCTAACCGACAGTTAAATAATAATCAAATCATTATCAACCACATCATTTGGTTTAAATGTTGGTTTTTCTAACACTACTCCAATTTTAATCTACTAAAAGAGATTCAAATTTAAGTGTAAGACAACAAGCATGTTGCCCTAACTAGCTGGTCACCATTTATGCAGGGGGATTAAATGATAATGAAACAAGAATGTGATGTTTGAGGAAATTGATGATACCTGAGTTATGCACCCACCAAGGCCCATGCCTTCGAAAAATTGATGGAAAGTAAGAGCTGCTACAAGAGGTTTGATTGTCTTGGGACTCTGTGAGGCACCTAAAGATATCCCAATAATTACTGAATGAACCAAAATTCCCAGCTCCAGAACCTAAAAATTATTCATGCAAAGAATTTACATAATTAAATCAGAAAAATTGCATAGATAAAAATAAACACTTGTAAATTAGAAAACTGCCCTTAACATTTCAAAATTTTCATTATGTAAAACTCACAAGTATTTTTCTTATTAATTATAAAAAATATTGAGTAAAAAATCAAATTTTTAGAATGCTAAGACCAAACACAATCATGGGCTAAAGGCCAAATTACCCCATTTATTCCCCCAAACCCCCCCCCCCCAAACCCAACCCAATCCAAGCCAAATCTTTGGGCTAAATGCTAAAAGCTAAATCGAAGCCAAATTCCCTCCAAGATTTAGTTCACATACGTGTGGACTCACCTAAGCCTAGCCCAATCTCGGCCCGGTCACGAGCTCTACTCGCACCACGTAAGCTGAAGCCTTCAGCGCCTGACAGGATGAGACCCATTGTCAGGGCCGTTGTCGAATCATGAGCCCAATGGCTCTTTTGTTCATCTGATGGCTGACATTTTTGGATCGTTGGATCAACGATCTAGATTTCAAATTTTGTTTTTTAAAAAATGTTTTTTTAAAATACATTGAATCGAACAGCTGAGATCGACTATAATCAAATCTAATGGTAAAAAAAAATAAATAAATAAATCTAACGATCCAAATTTAAATCCAATGGCTAAAATAATTAAAAAAAATTATTTAACTCAAAATTCATCAAAAAACTCTATAAATACCTATGTATTTGTTCAAACATCTACACAAAACTCACTTTTCTCCTACAATTCTTCCCATTTCTATAAATACCTATGTGTGTGCTTCATCTTTATCATGTGTTTTGTATGTGCTTCACATGTGTTTTGTATGTGCTTCACATGTGTTCTATGTGTCTTGTGTGTTTTATGTATTTTGTGTTTATACATCTCTATCATGATTTTCATATTCTTTCATAGTATTTCATGAGTTTCATGTATCGATTTAGTGATTTTTCAATATTTATTGGAATTTAAATATTTTTAGATTAAAATGTTCATAAAATTAATTTACGATAGTCTACATAATTTTTTTTTAAAAAGTAAATTTAAGAAAAAAAAATAGCCTAAGTTCATTTTTTTAATAATCCCGGACTAAAATTTTAGGCTAGAAGGGTTGGAGCAGAAAAGTTGTTTCTAGACTAAAAGCTAAATTTTCCGGACTAAAAAACTTGGCTTTTAGCCCAAAGATTGAAGATGGTCTAATAATAATTATCTTAAATTAAATTAAACACCCCAAAAATAGTTAATATAAAAGAAATTGATAAAACTGGAGAGTAAAAAACAGTGAAAACACTGACCAACCCAACAAAATGTAGCACCAAAAAATTGAACCATTAACTTGAACATCCAAACCAACTCTACCTGTGATATCACTCGATGCCTAACAATTTCGAAAGAAGAAATCGAATCCTCTGGTGCAATCGCGCCAGAACCGTGAGCATGGCCGTGTGTGGCATGTGTGTGAACATGCACATGACCCTCGTGCAACCCATTCATCTCTTCATCCTCCTTCACTGGCAGTGCTTTGGTGAAATCTGATCTTCTATAGTAGCTGGTGGCAAAGGTGTCGATCATCATCGTCCCAATCGCCGAAAGCATGGCAATGAAGCCGGTAAACGGGAAGCTGCCCCACGGGGTTTCGCTGAGGCAAGGGCTTCTCAAGCTCTCAAAAGCATCCGGTAGCACGTGGATGAACCCTGTTGCTAGAATCACACCGGCCGCAAAAGCCTTGATCACGAAGAAGATGTCGTTTTCGGGGTTTAGAGCCGGAATTTTCTTGCCCAACATTGGAAGGGAGACACCAAGGAAACTTGCTATGAGGATTGAACTTATCGCAAGTAGCTTGAACTTGAGGACTTTGAACTTGTCATGGTCTAGGGTTTCCGAATTGCATTCACATTCGGCGGAAACCGAGATGGGGACAAAAAGAAGGAGAAGGAGAAGAGGAAGAGGAAGTGTGTGAGTTGGAGTGAGCTTTTTCATGGCTATCAGTGAGAGGGGGGAGGGGAAGAAAGAGTGGGAGAGAAGGTTTTGAAATGGGGTTGTGGAGTGGTGAGCTGAAGCTCACTTTATATATGAGTTGGAGAATTTGGGAAAAGCAAAGGCATTAAGGTAAAAATGGCGACATGGAAAGGGAAGTGGGGTTGGCAACTGTATGGTTGGTGAAGCCAAATGACGACATTATGTGTTAATGCAACAGTTTAAAGGAGGTTGGAGGATTTTAATTAGGTTTTAAACTTTAGATCACTATCTAAACTGTCACTTATGACCACTGACTGGGACTCGGGCACTTAAGTATTTATTAGGGATGGCAGAAAAAAGCCCTCAATGTTCCATCTTTGAATGGAATTAGCCAGCCATTGCATGAGCATGGTTGTTGGTCAATACTTAGGAAAAGGAATTGACTTGTCGTGTGGGGCACATCAAGCAACGGTTTTGATTTGAACAAAAAAGGTTAATTCTGGTCATGTGTTTTGGGTCTTGACTCATAGTCATGTTTCAGCATCAGCAAGTAACATAGATTAGGATATATGATTGTCGCACCGTCATATTGTATTATTAATTTATTTATGTTATAATATATATTAATTTATTTGTTAAGACGTATCAATCATATTATACAAGTAACAGTGTGGTAGCTAGTAAAAAATTAATATTTAAGATGACAATTTCATATATTGCACTCACACGTACCAAAATTTATCAGAAAGGACAAAAAAATTCTTTACATTTTTAGTCTTCTTCTAAGAAAGTACTGTTCAATACGGTAAAGAGCTTTGTTTTAGGAGGTCTGCCTTTGAAATCAAGTGACATACTGTAAAACGTTGACAATTTGTAAACCCCGAATCGCATCGATGAAACATTGTAGATGCCACTTGCACGTGCATCAATGGTTGATATCCTGAGCACTGTAGTATTTCTCCTGTTTCCTATATGTTTACGTTGAAGTCGAGTGATTTTCCAACATCGATGGCAACAATACTACTGATATTCCTTAAAATCAAAACATTATAGAGATATTTATTTTTGAAACCAAACAACAAAATTATAAATGCATGCCAGTTGCATTTCAACATTTTTTCATCCGAAACAAGCTTTATAGTTTGTATCAAATACCATACGCAAAAAGTACAATAAAATATAGAAAAAGAATAAGTTCTGCGTTAAATATATATATATATATATATATATATATATATATATGTATATATATATATATATGCAAGAAAAAGAATAAGTTACACGATTGTCTCTTATACTTTATAGGGGTGGGCACAAAACCAAAACACGAATCAAATCGAACCGCATCGAATGGTTTGGTTTTGTGGTTTCAAAACGGTTTTGGTTTGGAACCGAACCGAATAGGGGAAAAACGGTTTGGTTTTGGTTATGGCCCTTTGAAACTGAACCGAAATCAAAATCGCATAACTTTATTAAATGTTAAATTCTAATTGGTTATTTCATTGAATCCATACATTTAGTATGGATTCAACCACATCATAACATGGCCACATGATCTTTTTCTTTTCTTTCTTCTAGTCGTAGTTTGTACTCTTTCTTTCTTTTACTCATTTGCTGCTCAACTTCATTCTTCATCTAACTCTCTGTCTCTCTCTCTCTCGGCCTCCACTCAAAAAGATGAAATCGTACAAGTTAAACCCACAATTATTCAAATGAAACATGCACACTAATCAATCTTAGCCACTAAATCAAATAGATATATCTCTATAGATATTTAAAGATATATTGCTTTAGATATTCAAAGCAAATTGTTAATGGTAGTCAGTTAGATATTTGAAACAAACAATACCTGCTGCTTTAGATATTATTCACATGCACCGAATGGCAGTCTGTCAGTTAAAGGTTTGAAACTTGAATGACACAAAGTAAGTTGAATGAGTGTAATAATGTATGTTGTATGCATACATGTCTGATTGTAATTGAAGCCATGCTTGATTGAATTTTAATATTGTATGCATGCTTGAACAATGCAATAATAGAAGACATGCAAAATGAAAAACAAACAGTAAACGTTGCTCATAGAAGAGAATTGAAGTGTATATCAAAGGAAAATGAAATGAGATACAACTAGGTAACCATAATAGTTTTCTCAAACAATGAAACCAAACCAAAACCGTACCGAACCAAATGGTTTGGTTTCATTTCGGTTTTAGCCTCAAAACTGCATCGAACCAAACCGCAAAAACTTGCGGTTTTGGTTTTGGTTTCACCCAAAACTGCACCAAACCGAACCACGCCCACCCCTAATACTTTATGCGGACATAATCGTCCTTGAGATATTCATAACACATAACTTTGATCCTTGAGATTTAAAATCAATAGAAGTGGTCACTGAGATTGTCCACCATCTATTATTTTGGTCCTTCCATTAAAAAACTCCGTTAAGTGACCCCTAAGCTTTTTAATGGAAGGACCAAAATGATGTATGGTAGACAATCCTATGAACCAAAAGTTATGTGTTATGCAAATCTCAGGGACCAAAATCATGTGTTATGCAAATCTCAGGGACCAAAGTTATGTGTTATACCCTGAACTTAACGGAGTTTTTTTTAACGGAATGATCAAAAATGGACAATCTTAGGGGCCACTTCTATTGATTTTAAATTTCAGAGATCATAGTTATGTGTTATGCAAATCTCAATGACCATTTTGATTAAAAAGCCTTCTTTATGCTATATGTTGGCTACTTTAGACTATAAAGAGAAATACAGAACTTCGAATCATTCAATGTCGTTGAACCTCCACCCATTGTGACCCTGACAACTTTGCCTTATGCATATACTTCACGGGAGGTCCAGATTTATTCGTACTTTTTATTTTTCCTCCCTTCCTCTTCATTTGATCAACGTTGTTATTTTTGGCATAAAACTCAAAAATTAAAGCTAGTTGCAATAAGTTCGATGCTTATTTAGGGCACTACTGGCCATAAAAAGATTGAACTTATTACAACTAGCTTGCATTTGAGAGCTTTGGCTTCTTCGCGATGCTCGGCGTCGGTACTGCAAGTGCATTCTGCAGAACAAAAGAGGTTAAAGGGAAAAGAAGAGGAGGAAGAAGAATGTAAGAAAAAGGAGTGGTATAGACTGGTCTTTCTGTGGTTGTGAGCATGTGGCTTATCAAAGCCTAATCTATATACTGTCTATTTATATATGTGAGTTCGAGAATTTGGCCAAAGAAAGGCTGGAGTAAAAATGACGACATGTAATTGAATTCAGTTTGTGTGGAAGTGAACAAATGACAAGTGTGCTGTTTGAGCCAATATATTGATGATATTATGATAGAGATGTTATGCTACAGACAAAGTCGGTATTGTAAATTTACGTGATATTATTAATTTACGTATTATAATATTGGCCAGCGATATACTTGATAATTTTAAAACTTAAGGTATAATAATGCGCTACTAGAACATGAGCGTTAAATACACATGATAGTATGACCATTATACTGAAAAATTTCATTGTAGCTATTTCTTATTTGAACAAAAGTTTGTGCCATGCAACAAAATTTTAGTACACGTCTAGACTAAATTGTGGTGAACTGAGAAAGCTAAGATGAAATGCTCCTTCATTCTAGCCAAAAAACCTACAACGTTTAAAGGTCCATGTTGAGTGGAACATGTATGTCCACACCAAATGGAATAATACATTTTTGGAGCTTAGGCTTCAATGTTCTAGAGCTTCCACCACTTTTTGTTATGCATATACTTCATGGTGGGTGTCCATATTCTACTAGGTTCTCTTCACATGTTAGGTCTACAATTTGCCTTCCTTGCTCTTTGTTTTTCAAAATAGAATCCATGACTATTTTGAGGATGGAAAAAAAACTCACATTAGAAGGTTAAGAAATCTTTCTAGAGCTATAAAGAATTGTGTCACTTCCTCTATTGTTAATTGGTTTTTCAATTGAAACTTTAACTCTTTTCACGATTCACCCTCATGCATGTGAAGCTTAACAACAAAACGTGTTCTACGTCGCGCAATTAAATTGTCTACCTCCTAAGTTTAAAATCTTTATTGTATATGATGGAAAATATTCGATAATGTAAGTAATTGTCCCACTCTTAAAATTAAGAAACATTTTCCTTTTAATTTTACTATTTTAGATTGTTATTTTATGGTATTGTTCACATTGCCACATATCTTTCCGAAAAGAGAAATTCTTCCCTGTCCATCCCATATGCAGAAGACTGATGAGGATTAAAAACTGACGAAATCCTGTTGCCATTCGATGTCTATGGTTCACGTTGTCCCTCCTTCCCAGCATCTCCTTTTTCAGCCTAAAATCAAAGTAGTAGTTTCCAACAAAAAATATATTTATAGAAAGCAATAATTTGACTGGTTCAGAACATAATTCCAATATTGTTTGGTTGGTGGTCCTATAGACTACACAATACTATTCCGGAAGGGAATATATTTAGCAACTGGAATTTTAATTTTTGGACCAGTTTCAGTCTACCAATATCAATCTAAAAGATTTAGAACATACTTTCAAGTAATGTGTTAAAAATAAGCTCATAAACAAAAGTAGATTCCCCATTTTGGTTGTACTCCAATAAAGATTTTTTGTTGGGGCTTACTTAAGCAGAGCGCTAGAGCATCTCTAACAGAAACTATAAAACTATTAAAACTCATTTGAAAGAGCAAATCTAAAAAACTCATTTCCAAGAGAATCTATAAAGAACTCTATATAATAGGGAAGTGAACAATTGCTCTTTAAATTTTATATAGTCACTATTCGTATGATAAATGTTAAAAAAATTATAAAATTCAATTGTGGGTCTCGGAACCAAGGATAAAAGGAAGATAGAGAAGCTTTAGAAAATAATTGGATCGGATTTGAATTGTTAATAATAAAATATTCCAAGTTTGTTAAAATAGAGAGTACTGTTTGGAGATGAAAATTTAAACTAAGTTACTAAAATAGTTTTTTTGACACTGCTCACTCGCTAGTTTAACAAAAATTTTGAGTTTTCTCTTAGAAATTCTCTAGTAATACAATGCTTTGTCATTTGCTTGAAATCTTAGAACTGATTCTTGGTGCACTTTTGAAATCCCAAATGCTGACAAATAATACAATTTATTGACCCCAAAAGGGATGCTGACAAATAATACAATTTATTGACCCCAAAAGGGAAAAAAACATTTGTTTGCATACTTTTGTCTTTGAACTTCTATTTGAACGGAGTAGGATTCTTTTTTTTTTTTTTTTCCTTCCCTTTCCTTCTCTCCCCTCCTATTTGAACGGTCACGATTAACCCACGTTAACATCTTATATTAATTTTTTTTTTATAGAAAGATAAAGACAAGATAGAGAATATGAGAGGAGGGGATAGAAAGAGGAGAAGAGAGAATCATAATCCTATTTGAACTTCTACCTTATTCATGCCGACAAGAACTTGGCACTTGGAGTAATTTAGATCATGTCAGCATAGCTATACAACTTTAGAGCTTAGAGCTTTGTTGATAATCATTTCATGTTTAGTTTTTTAGTTTTAATTTTTTTATTAGAGGTAATGAGGAAATATATGAGATAAATGATAATGAAGAAGCTTGTAAGAAGCAATGCATGGTCAAGAAAATCTTTTGTACGACTAAGGCATGCACACCTCTCTCTCAATCGGGGTGGGACCATGGGTAAGAAAGTGGGAGGATGAATATAGAGGACTCTCTTTTTTGCGTCTGGCTGCACAATCACATAGTCCAATGAGTGAATTTTAAGAATTCGCGAACATAGAGGGATAGAGATGTGGTAGGTATGTATAAAAAATGATAAATAAGATGAAAACTTAGTACAAAAAATTGTAACAATTTTAAATTGTTTCACTTTCAAATTTTTGTTTCATGCATTCTCTTTCATTTCTCCTCGTCCCTCCCACCACCATCCTCAACACTTCTTCACTGCTCTTTTCTCTCACATACTTTCTTTCAATCCCGAACACAAAGTAAAAATTTAAAACTATGATTCTCCCCATTTGGCCATAAGAGACATAAAACATACTCCAAGAAGAAGCGTGAAACTAGCCCCAATTCGGTGTTTAAGTATATTTCACAGCCTTGACTAATAAGCAAGCACTAAAAGCTTATTTACATCGCACTCTTAATTTACATAATATACAGCAAGCATCCATCGTGATCACCGTCAACAGTTTGCTTTCTTTAGAACAAGCGCATCACTTTCACGGGAAAATCTCTTGTCTGCAGTTGCTTTCTCAATACCCAGTTCAGTTTTTTTTTTTTTTTTTTTTTTTTTAAACGACTTCTTGCTGAATCGTGAAGAAACGCATATCCAAAATTGTGAATTTCAGCTGCCGCTATTGTAAGGAATGGAGATTTGATTGACCAGATAGCAAACTGTTGGTGAAGAGTGGAGCGTGAGTCAACCTGCCGGCGAGGCTTCTTAGGTTTTTGCTGCTATTGGTTTAACTCTAGGACTATGCAGGATTGGTCTGCCGGATACCCTGCTATTGGCACTGCCACCGCTATCATCTTAACATTTATTTTACAAAAACATTACTAACAAACATAAATTTATTATTTTTTAATGCTATGGTTTCTCTATGCAGATTGTTGATCTGGCTCATCTCCCATTCTACTTTTCCGCAGTGTATAGTTGCCTAATGATTCGTGTCATAAAATTTGAGCCCTTACAACCCAAAACCAAAGTGGTCAAAGATGTAACCAACAAAGATGGGGAAAAGGGAGGTCGAACACATTGCCACCCGCTCCTTTAATTGCGATGCCAAGCTGTCTAACAAGTCCACGACCAATTTCGCGTATCTGCTTAGTAGTTTTAAGTCAGGCCCAATTTAAAGTAATTATATTGTTATTTGCTCCTTCAAATGATTCCTACTGAACTATATGCATTTGTTAATTTTCGCCAAAGCAAAACTTGGTTGCACCTTGTTATAGTAGGTAGGAATTATTTGGAGGTCTAGACACATAAATGCTTCACAACCTCAACCTATAGTAGGTAGGAATTTATGTGTCTAAACTACCTCAACCTACATGCTCCACTCACAAAGCTTCAACATACAAGCTTCAACAAAAGAAAATTCAAAGAACTTAGCGAAGAAGACTTTGGTGTATTTAACACAATACATTGAAATGAAGGAAAGCTTATTTATTGATATCCCCGATAAGTTACAAATATGTACATATACATGAGTCAAAATAAACAAACATGAGGGAGCCTTTACAAAGGTTGCTTAGGAGAAGTCTCAGCAGTCGGTAGAGCCCCAGAAAGAGAAGGCACCGGAGGGGGATCATTCGGAGCCTCAGTACTGGACAGAACCCTAGAAGGAGGAGGCATCAGAGGTTGATCATTTGGAGCTTCATTACGCGGTACAGCCCCAGAAGACGAAGGCAATAAATGCTTTTGGAACAAACCCACAAATCTCTGATGATCAAGTAAAACCTGACCATCAGATTCCTTCATCTGGTCAAGCTTCCTCTTCATGTTTGTAGCATAGTCATGTGCGAGCCGGTGCAACTGTTTATTCTCATGCTTGAGCCCTCTAATCTCCTGTTTGAGACTCATCACTTCAGCCGCCAATGATTCAACTTTGCGGGTTCGAGCAAATAGGCGTTGGGCCATATTAGACACAGAACCTGCACACTGAACACTGAGAGCCAGAGAATCCTTAACAGCCAACTCATCAGACCGTTTGGAAAGTAGTATGTTATCTTTGGGAGTGAGAAGGTTCCTGGCCACCACCGCAGCGGTCATATCATTCTTCATCACGGAATCCCCAACAGTAAGAGGACCAGTAGGGGAGACGAAGGATGGGCGCCATATGTTGTCTGGAAAAGGCGTGGCTGCCTTTTCAACAAGGTTCAAGTCAAAACGACAGTCGGAGGGGCCAGACATTTTCAAAGGTGTTGAAGAGAGAAGAGGTCGGACAAATCAAGATCTTAGAAGTGCAAGAATGGAGCTTCTACTGGTGGAGATTCAAGTGTGCTTTGGAACTTAATGCTAGCCTCTATAAAAATCTGCACTCGACGGAGTTTCAGAAATCGAAGAGGCGCCTGCTCAGAAATCGAAGAGGCGTTTGCTTTCTCAAAAGCTGGGCTGCTCAGAGACCACAATGGTCGATCTTAGAAATCGAAAAGGTGTTTGCTTTCTCAAAAGCTGGGCTGCTCAAAGACCACAAAGGCCGATCTCAGAAATCGAAGAGGCACTTGCTTTCTCAAAAGTTGGGTTGCTCAGAGACCACGAAGGCCGATCTCAGAAATCGAAGAGGCACCTACTTTTCCAGCCTTGTCAGCACCTGTCACACGCACACTCAGCTTTGCGGAAATTATGGGCATTCTGTCGAAGATTTCTGGTGAAGTAGAAAGCACATGAATCTTATTGTTCAATCACCCACTTCCCACACGCAACATTAGCTCAATGGGTATCTGATCACTCATATATTTCATGCATTTATACCATCCATTTCTAAAGTCTTTGTGATATTTTTGTGTTAAAATTGTAGCATTTTACCTTACCTTGTGTTAATGTGTAGTTAAATTTGTTTTAGGATAAATTTCAAGCAAAAGTGGGGGAGACAATGAGCAACAGAAAATAAATGGGAAGGAAAGCAGGACACAAGAGGAATAAAGAAAGGAAAAGAAGAATAATAAGCAAGGTGGGCAGTGCTGAAGTGGGAAGACACGGAATGGTGGAAGGAATAAGAAAATAATGAAATGAGAAAATGATGGGCTTGGTGCTTTGAATTGTCATTGCCCTTTGGCTAAAGGCAACGGACAAAGAAGAGAAAAACAAATGGGCACTTCAGATACAACATAAAAAAAAGAAGGAAGAAAGCAGAAAGCATAAAATCATGATGAATGATTAACATACAGCAGCAAATGCATGCGGACAGGTTGGAATTGGAAGAAAAGTCAAATGAAAAAAAGAATAAGAGAAAGAAGACTAGCAGACGTGAATAAGAGGCAGGTTAGAGGCACGGAAAGGAGGGAACAGAAGCAGAAGGCAGAGCAGAGGTCATAGACACGGGAATAAGAGGGGCGAGGCGCAGAGAAAGAGGAAGGGACAGAGCAGCAGGAGACAAGGCATAAAAGAAAAGAAGGCAGGGAGCGACAGAAGAAAAGGGTTGTATATTTTCTCAAACTCATGTTTAACTTTTGGTTTAATTTGAGAATAATGTGTAACTAATTTTTAGTAGTTAGGGGCTGTTTTGAAGCCCCGAATATGATTGTAAGTTTGTTGTGATATTTTGTTTGAATGACTTTTATGAAAGGATGAAAATTGTTTCACTACTTATGTCATTGATAAATTCTTTATGTGTTTCTATGGATGCATACATAGTGAGCATATCTAGGATTTTAATGCTATGAATATATGTATGCCTGCCCTTATTGAATGAGGACCTACATATGTTCTAGAGTAGCACATGTTAATTGTGGTTAACATGTGAACCGATTTCTAGGATAAGTAAGACAACACCAGTACTTACGATGCCTTGTGATGACTCAAACTCTTTTTATTCTTAATGATTTCTACTTGTTAAATCTATGAACACGCCATTCTAGATTGCATGCTAGGGACTAAGTTAAGTTGAAAACACCATTCTCTTAACATACTACATAAGAAAGAGTAATAGGTTGAGTTCTAACAGTGAGCCAACTTGAGCATCTTCATCCGGAAATAAAAGGAATTTGAATGAAACATAACATGTTTGCATGATTATTTGGTGGTGGATAACAATTCCCCTAACTCGTTTTTCTCAAACTTGTGATCTACTCAAAATCTGTTTATGTACTGTTTTTGTATGATTTAATTTAAATAGCAAATCAACTCCAAAAATCCCAAAAATTTGTGAGACTGTCGTACTGTGTGTCTAGTATTTGCATATAAAATTTTGTTGAATTTGGATAAGTGTAAGTTAGTCTAATAATTATTGTTCGGTGGCTGGTCAGTGGAGACAGCCACCCTGTTTTTGTTACATTTTAAGTATTTGGATAAAACAATCTTTTGCGGGAAAGACCCTTATTTTCATATGCTACAATTGACAAATCTTAGTGTTAATAAGGAAAATTAATAGGATTATTGTGTGCTACTTTGTGGTGCGTTATAATTACTACCAGTACCACAGATAACTTTGCCAAAGTTCTCTGACAAAGTTGAGACACGTGAAGCTTGCAACTCCCACTACATCGCTCTGACCAAGAAGGGTAAAAGAATAGCAAAGAAACAGCACTAACAAAGTTTAGACACATAAATTTTGAAGGTCTAGCTACCATATTATTACCCACAAGGGTAAAGGAACAGTATCACTACTGGATAATTGGAAAGTCTCTGTGTGTCAATCTCTGTGCTTCGTGGCAAGGTAGACTAGCAAACATGCCCAACCTTTACTCACATTCGAGAAAACTCCCAACAAAATTGCTTGCTTCAAAATCGAAGAGGCACCGCCCTCCGAATCTCGAGAGCCAGACTCCCAACATGATTACTTTCTCAAAAATCGAAGAGACACCACTCTCCGAATCTCGAGAGCCAGACCCCCAGCATGATTGCTTCTCAAAAATCGAAGAGGCATCGTTCTCCGAATCTCGAGAGCCAGATCCTCGACAGAATTGCTTGTTCGAAAACCGAAGAGGCACCACTTTCCCAACTTCAAAAGCCGGATCTCCTTGGATAAAGCTTGTCTGTAATCTTCACCCGCAACATCAGCTTTCCAGATACCACAGACCACTTTTTCAAAGTGCTCTGATAGAGTTAAAACATGTGAAACTGGCAGCTCCCACTACCGTGCTATGACCAAGTAGGGTAAAGGAATAACATTACTACTTGTTGTTAGGGAGACTCCTATATATGTCGACTTCCATCCCCAACGGACAGGCAGACCTGCAAAAATGCTCAACCCTTCCTCATATCTGAGAGGGCACTCCCAACGAAGCCTTTCGAAATATTCAGCTTTCTTTCCCCCCGATAATACCTCTGCAAACAAGCTATACTAGAGCTAGAATATCTCATATCATCAGGGTTAAAAGCAAGAGTATCCCATATCATGCTTTTTCCATGTCTTTTCCTTTGGCCTTGTTCTTACCTGCAAGACAAAGAGAAAGAGAGTAATCAGTCAGCACTTGGAATCAGGCTTCCAGTCAGGAACTGACTGCCTGAAACCCCTTACCTGATTACTTACCTGGCATTACTCTCGAGTACTCATCTTCAACATCTTATGCTTCCAGGGAAGATACCGCATCTGCCTGAGGAACAGATAGGGCAAGTGAGAAGGATACAAGGAAGCATGTGGAGACAAGCGTAACAGCACACGTGCCGATACATCCACTACTCTGTCAAAAGCAAAAGTATCCCATATCAGCAGGGTCGAACGTACTATAGATTTGATGGACTTGTTTTGACCCTCAAATTCTTCAGTCGGCCTTATACTCTAGAGGAAACCAGAAAACCCTCCAGCCCAGTTCAAGAATAAGCATGTGGAAAGTTACTTCTTCAAAAGCAAAAGTATCCCATATCATCTCTTCTCATTTTTCTTCTCTTTATCCTTCATGCTGCCTGCAAGATAGGGAGAATGTGAACAATCAGCCGGAACTCGAAATCAAAGTTCTGATCTGGGACTGATTGCTTGGAGCTCTGATTGCTTACCTTGTCTGTCACCTCTTTCAGCAGATCCCCTAGCTCGGCGACTTGGGGGACTCCTACTACATGGTTTGTATTGCGCTTGACCAAGCCTGAAACTACAAGTAAGCTTCAAGTGAAATTGATACATTACGTTGTGCATCTCCATCAGTTAAAGATACCACCCCTGGATGGAGGAAGAGTAATTCCAGAGGAGATGCCACATCTACCTATGAGACAGATAAGGCAAGTCAAGACGATACCACACTCTGGTACTTAGAAGTTTCGTGACTACGAGATCATTCTCCCACAATATTTCCTAATGTCATTTGTACTAAATCATTCACTTGTACTCACTAAAGGAGAGTTTGAACCTATGTACTTGTGTAAACCCTTCACAATTAATGAGAACTCCTCTAATCCGTGGACGTAGCCAATCTGGGTGAACCACGTACATCTTATGTTTGCTTTCCTATCTCTATCCATTTATATACTTATCCACACTAATGACCGGAGCAATCTAGCGAAGATCACAAAAAGCGATTGTTTTCGCTACCTAGGATCTATCTTGCAAGAGAACGGAGAATTAGATGGAGATCTCAACCATAGAATACAAGCTGGATGGATGAAGTGTAAGAGTGCATCCGACGTGTTGTGTGACCGTCGTAGGCCACTGAAGCTCAAGGGAAAATTTTATAGGACGGCAATAAGGCCAGCGATGTTGTATGGCACAGAATGTTGGGCAGTGAAGCATCAACACGTACACAAAATGGGTGTAGCGGAGATGAGGATGTTTCGGGGGATTGTGGGCACACGAGAAAGGATAAGATTGGGAATGAGGATATCCGAGGTAAAGTAGGAGTAGCCGAAATTGAAGGAAAGATGAGAGAAAATCGGTTACGGTGGTTTCGACATGTGCAAATAAGGCCTAGGGGTAGAGGTTCAGGGCCGAAGGGGTAGAGGAAGACCTAGGAAAATTTTGGAAGAGACCCTAAGAAAAGACTTAGAGTACTTGGATCTAACGGAGGACATGACACAAAACCAAGCGCAATGACGTTCTAGGATTCATATAGCCGACCCCACTTAGTGGGAAAAGGCTTTGTTGTTGTTGTTGTTGTGGTATGTTAAGTGCTGGCGTGGTATTAGTGGACCCTGTTACACGTCAGCCCACTCTCTCAAAAACTTGCACACGTGGAATTTTATAGTCCACGTAGAGCCATGTGGACTGACAACATGGCAAATTTAAAATTAAAAAATTTCTTGAATCTCTAACCCACTATTCCCGTCCCACTAACCAATGCAACCCCACTATCATCGAGCATACTACCATTCCCAAACCCAGAATTAAGAAGGATGAAGTTGGTAACCCTAGCCCCTGTCGCGAAACCTTACTTCTGTCGTGAAACCCTATCGCGAAACCTTATTTCCATCACTTTCTACCCGTCGATTTCCTATCGGCGTCGTACCCACTACCTATAACAATCCTTAACCCGTGACCCGCAACCCACAATCCACAACCCAGAACCAACTCCTGATTGCAACGATAATCAAGTGCTTTGAAGTGAAGGATTCGAAATCGAAGGCTGAAAGTGACCTGGGAAATGAGGGAGGATCTGTTAGATACATTTCCAACATACGGTTAATGCTTTTTGGTTTCTTTATTTTGTGTTGTTCGATATTGGACTGTTCGAAAATGTTGGGGATCTGAAATTGTGTGTACTTTGTAATTTTGGATCTATATTTCCTAATTTTAAATTGCTTTGTTCGAAAATGGTGGGGAACTAAAAATTGTTTGGTGTTATCGGTTAATGGAGGACTTTTGTCCTTGTTTAATCATGTTGGAAAAAAGTTTGTGGGTTATATATGTTTGGCAGTGCTTTGTTTATACCTTTATCTGTGGTATGATGCTTTATTTATGCCTTTATCTGGGACACCACATTGTCAATTGTGGTGTGTCTTTATCTGTGAATTGTTTTGTGGTCCTGGGTCTTGAAGTTTAGGTTTCATCACTTTAAAATAGGAATTTTTTAAGCAGAAATTAGGGTTTCATCAATTTATAATAGGGTTTTTTATGCTGCAATTTCAGGGAACAATGAACTATTCACAATCAAAATGTATCATAGTGGACAACTCAGTGAAGACTTCTATGTTGGAGGGAAAGTGGATTTCTTTGACTACTGTGACAAAGATTTCATGTCATTGCTCGAGGTTGACGATATGGTTGAGGAACTGGGATATGAGAATGTCTTCATGAGTTACCAGTATAGGATCCCAGGGATGGAAATTCGAAATGGGATGAAGCCTTTGATGACACATTCAGATGTTATCAACATGTGCAAATTTGTGCCAAACCACACTCTGATTGATGTGTATATTGAGAAGATAACACCTAAAGAATATGTCTCTCAAGAGATGAAGTTTATGAAGTCATTTGAATCAGTTGCTCAGAGTAGGGTGGTTATTGAAGAACTTGATGGTGATAATGATGACTAGTGCAATTTGATAGAGGAAAGGCCAGTGCAAGTGAATAGAGGAAAGGGCAAGCTAGCCATAGAATATCCAGTCAATGGCCTTGCTGGTGAATATAGTGTGCCTTCCCAATGTGTGACTCAAGTTGTTAAAGAAGTGGCTGATGAAATGGGTGATAGAGTAGTTGGTGAATGAGTGGCCGATGAAGGGGTGGTTGATGAAGGGGTAGATTAAGGGGTTGATGAAGGAATGGTTGATGAAGGGGTAGATGATGAAGGAGTGGCCGATTAAGGGGTTGATGAAGGGGTATATGATGAAGGAGTGGCCGATGAAGGGGTGGAGGATGAAGGAGTGGCTGATGTGGGTGATGAATGAGCGGAAGAAGAATATGAGAATGACAGTGACTTCATAGAAGAAGAATTTCCTGTTGATGAAGATCATTTACAATTTATGAAGTTTGTAGATGATCATGTGGATGCACATGAGGATGCAGTGTTGGCTAGCATTAGGGAACAAAATAACCCATAATCTGGGAAGGGATTTGGGCAAAAAGGGAAGAATTTGAAGAAAATATTGATGTAGATCTTGTTGGTGAGCCGGATTACAATTCGGATGGCCTTCATAGTGTGCATGAAGATGAAGACGGTGGTCCAAACAACAGTGAGCATTATCCTGAGTTTAATGAGAAGACTGACATGAAGAACCCACACTTGTATTTAGGGTTGATATTTAGGGATGAAGCACAGTTCAAAAAGGCAGTAGTTATGCACTCTATGATAAATGGGTATGGGGATGTCCATTTTCCACGGAATGAGAAGTTCAAGGTTGATGCAGCATGCAAAGAAGGTTGTCCGTGGCTTGTCAAGTGTGGGAAGATGCACAATTCAAACAGCATGCAGATAAAGACGATTTTAAATCACCACACATGTGGTAGATTATGGATGAATAGGAATATGAAATAGTCTTGGCTTACTGAGCAGTACTTGGATAGGATCCAACTTAATCCAACATGGCATGTTGAGTCTTTTATGGACACCATTCAAGCTGAATGGAAACACGGTTACTCTAAGATGAAAGCTTATAGGGCTATGCATGCTGCTATGAAGATTATAGAGGGTAAGCATTCTGAGCAATACATAAAATTGTGGGATTTTGGTGAGGAAATTAAAAAGACAAACCCGGGGAGCACTATGAAGATACAGTTGGATGAATGAAGGTTTCAAAAGATGTATGTGTGTTTGGGTGCATGCAAGGAAAGTTTCAAGCATGGATGCAGACCCTTGATTAGTTTAGATGGTTGTCATTTGAAGTCTCAGCATAGGGGTCAATTGTTGGTTGTTGTGGGGATAGATCCCAATGATGAAACTTGGGTGATAGCTTATGCAGTTGTTGAGATGGAGAACAAAGATTCCTGGATTTGGTTCTTGGAGATTCTGGCCGAGGATATTGGGATTATAAATCAACATCGTTGGACATTCATTAGTGACAAGTAGAAGGGTTTAATTCATGCATTCTTGGCGGTTCTTCTCGATTGTTACCACATGTTTTGTGTGCGACATTTGTACACAAACTATAGAGAACAGTTTAATGGTAAGGCACTGAAGGATGCTTTATGGGCTGTTGCCAAGACCACTATAATTCCACACTTTAGAAGAGCTATGGAGGAGCTTAGATTGTTGAGCGAAGATGCATATGATTGGCTCATGAAGAGACCTGGCATTCATTGGAGTAGGTCCCATTTTCAAACGCATACCAAGTGTGAAATGTTGCTGAACAACTTGTGTGAAAGTTTCAATGCCGTGATAGTGAAGGCAAGGTCGAAACCAATTGTAACCATGTTTCAGATCATTCATACCATGTTAATGAGAAAGATTCAAATGAGAAGAGACATTATGATGAGACAACCTGGAGATTTGTGCCCTAAGCTTCAGAAAAAGTTGGAGGTTGCAAAAATAGAAAGTGGTCGATGCATTGCTCAGTGGTCTAGTGGGACTAAATTCCAAATGGATGCTAGAGGAGGTGACCAATTTGTTGTTGACTTGACTGAGCGTACATGTTCATGTCGGGAATTTGACCTCACTGGTCTTCCATGCAGCCATGCCATTGTTGCTATTAATTACAAGCGGGATAAGCCAGAAGACTATGTGGATGTTTGTTATTCCAAGGTTATGTACTTGGAAATATATGGACACTTGATCCAGCCAATGAATGTGATGTCAATGTGGGAGGTCACTGAAAATCCACCTATCCAGCCTCCTCTATATACTAGACAACCTGGAAGACCCAAGAACAAGAGAAACAAAGAGGCTGTAGAAAAGGAGAAAGAAGATAATCCTACACAAAATGAGGCTACTAACATAAGTGGAGATATTCCACAGCCACAACAGCTCTCAAGGAAAGGCCAAAGGACCGTCAAATGTGGAATATGTAAAAAAGAGGGCCACAATACCAGGACTCATCATAGGCATCTTCCTACAAGACAAGAGGTGACACATAACCTTATACAAAGTTATATGATTTCTAAGTTGATTTAAGACTTTATTAATCCTGAAATCCTTTAATTTGTTTTAGGCATCAAGTTCTTCACATGGAGCATCTAGTAATCTAGGTGGTGTACCAAGGAAGAGGGGAAGGAAACCTAAGGTAAGCACTGCTTCACTTGTTTTATTTAGTTAGGGTTTGTAAATGAATTTGTGGCCTATATTGTGATAACTTAGGGATTCTTTTGTATGCATTGGATGTGGATATTCTTTTGTGATAACTTGTGGCCTATATTGTTGTTGATTTGGATATTGTTGTATTGAACATTGGATGTAGGCATCAAGCACGGCTGGAGGTGGAAATTCAGAGGTTCAAACAGATGGAAGAGTGAAGAAGAGAAAGACAAGGCAACCAAGAAAGTGAAGTGTTGCCATACAAGAACAAACTGGGTTTTTTGATGTTGGAATTTTTTGCTAGTGGCTAGAATATTTTGTGAATGCTGGCAGCAGCTAGAAACTGTTTTTTTCTTTTGCTTAGCTAGGAACTGCTATTTTGCTCCCAATTGGATTTGTGGCTTATTAGGAACTGCTATTTTGCTACTGGCTGGATATCCTTTTGGGAACATGCTAGCTTGTTAGGGTTTTTTTATGGTTATATCCAGTTGAACTCCTAGATGTTAGCTTTGGTTGCCAATATATGGAACATGCTTGTTATTTGGTTACCAAGAAAGTGAAATATATTGCTACTTTAGTTGCCTATTTGGATATTGGAATACATTTTTACCTATTCACTGATTACTGTGGGAATATGCATTTCTGCATTTTGGATTGCATCTGATGCAATTGTTCATAATTTAGCCACCAAAACCCATAAAGAAATAGGAGTTTAAAAAAAAAAAATTGGCGGGAAAATTTTGGCCACATGGGCACTTTTTGTTGAGTTGGCATGACGTGGCAGCTGGGTATCCACGTGTGCAAGTTTTGGAGGGAATGGGCTGACGTGTAACAGGGTCCACTAATGACACGTCAACATTTAACAGATCAATGGATGGAAAATCTAACGGAGGTATTATTTTGAAATAAAATGGTACGTGAGGTATGAAAGTGAAATGTTTTAAAGTTATTGTATGAGGTTGTAATAGACCTCAAACTTGAAGGGCTACTGTGTAATTTACCCTTCTTTTTATTAGTTTTAGGGTTGGGTCTGGCAGAACACTTAGTTTTACGGTCTAGTGGTTATAAGTAAGGTCTTAGTTTCGAATTTCGAAAATGACAAGTTCGCAACTAATTTATTCCCTCATCCCTTAATGTAAATATATCGTTGTATAAAAATATTATTAACTATGAAATGTTGAACTTATGCTTTTTTTAAGACGACCCTGCTGATGCATATTTGTACTCCGCACTTCAGTATCGGGATACATTCACAAACTATATAATTCTTTAAGTTTGTTCATTTGCTCAGAAGATAGCTCCTGAAGTCCTAAGTTTATGTTGTGCTTAAACCAATCAACTGGGGGAAGAGGAACTCCATACATTGCTTTCAATGTCAGCGTTGTTTGGCTTCTTGAGAAGTAGTTGCAATTAAAACCTCTATAGTAATAAACTAATAATGTTAGAATTAAATTAATTTTATAACTATAAGGAGGCGCAGTAACACAATTATTTTTTGATTTAATAATCCTGAATTAATTATGAATACAAAGTACTGGAGCATGTTAATTTCCAAGATAGAAGATCAAAGAAAGTAAATGCAAACACAGTCGAGAAAATGCATCAACTCATTATATAGCTTTGGCATGTAAAAGTAGTTATCAAATACAGTGATAAACTAGTCTTAGCTTTTAAAAATAATTGATCCGACCGAGCATTATACAGCTTTGGCACCCACAGTCGAGAACATGCATCAACGCGACCACCCATCGGAATCAGGCTTTCTTCTTCGGTGGAAAATGATTGCTGTTAATGGAAAGGGATTTCATGCAACAACAAGAAAGTAGGGTACAGACAGAAATTATACAAAGCAAGGGCAACTGTGTGTGAAACTGTATAACGCGCTAAACAAGTTCAATGAATAGAGCCTACCATTATTGCTGTGGACAACCTAGTCAAGAAGAAAGATCAACTTTACTATCTCATTGGATGATGGACTGGCAAACTTTTAAAACGCGGTAGAGCTAGGGAAGTTTCAAATTGCACACCCTGTAACCAATTTTCGAAGATACCAAGTTACCAACCTTTTGACTGGCAATGTGAAAATTTCACGATTTTGTACCTTAATTTGTTCCATATTTATTTGAATGTCTTGGACATGTTCAACAGAATGCGAAGACAGTATGTAGCAGCTGCAAGGGGACCGTAGCGCAGTTGATAAAGAGCATTTACCCATGCACTTGAGGCCTCGACTTTGAATCTTCCTGGCCTCCCCCACTATCGCTTGTATCAACAAAACCACGACAAGGCCATTTGAAAATACCAATTAAGTTACCGTCTGCGAAGCTGTATAATTTTTTTTTACCAAGCCTAAAGTAAACATGTTTGTAGTACAATTATACACTACTGTAACACGTTTATGGTACAATGAGTAAATCCTACCATAATTGCCTTGGATACTAAAGTCATGAAAATAATTTAAAAGCGTGTGGGCACCTACCTGAGTGTGAGGGGACTCGTAAACTTGTAAAATGGGTTGAGGACTAGGAATATGGGGACCTACCTGAGTCCGACGGGACTCGAAAACTTGTAATGAGTTGAGGACTTGGAATATGGGCACCTACATGAGTCCGACGGGACTCGAAGACTTGTAAACTGGGCTGTTCACACGGAAATTTCAGCAAAAACACCTTATATATATGAGTTCCCTTATTGTGCTCACTAGCCATCTGCAGAAAATTGAGAGAACAGTAAATTTGTATGATGGATGCCCTGTATGCTAAGTTATTCAACCCTACCTATCACCTCAATAATTCTCACTATTTGCTCTTCTTGTTGTTGGTGTCCTTATATCTAGACACTGCTAAAGTCTGCTTGGGTGATGGACTTCCGGGCATTACTGTGAAGTTGTGCATGGATGAAGAGAGACGTGCGCTTCTCAACATCAAGCAAGATCTCACCGATCCCTCTGGCAGGCTTTCTTCTTGGGTAGGCAATGATTGTTGTCAATGGGAAGGGATTTCATGCAACTACACCACAGGTCATGTTGCGAAGCTGGACCTCCGGAATAAGCATGAGCCAAATCCCACTGGTGATGATGAAAACTGGGACGAGCTTGCTTATGAACGTTCGTGCTTAGGTGGTAAGATAAATCCTTCTTTGCTTCGCTTGAAACATTTAAATTACCTAGATCTAAGCTCCAACAATTTTCAAGGTATTCAAATTCCTGAGTTCTTCGGACGGCTTGAAAGTTTGAGGTATCTCAATATCTCATCTGCGTCGTTTGGGGGGGTGATTCCTTCTTCCCTTGGTAACTTGTCATACTTGAACTATCTTGACCTTCGTTCTGATGTCTCCTTATTGGAAATACCTTCCAGAAACTTGAATTGGCTTTCTCATCTCTCTTCCCTGAAATACCTTAATCTCGGAGGCATCGACCTTGGCGGCACAAAAGTAAGTTGGATGCATGCTGTTAACATGCTTCCATCCTTACTAGAGTTGCACTTATCTTCATGTCATATTGTAATTGAAAGCCTTCCACTCTCACTGCAAAGGATCAACTTCACGTCACTTTTGGTCCTTGATTTGTCATGGAACCATATAAATAATTCTTCATTTCCCAACTGGCTTTTTAATCTTACTAGCCTCAGAAAACTTGATCTACGCTCGAATTCCTTCAGTGGTCCTTTTCCAAGTGAACTTGCAGGCCTCAAATCTTTAGAATATCTTGATTTATCTAACATGGGATTTAAAGGTCTCATTCCCAAGGGCATTGGAAATATGTGCAAGCTAAAGATCTTAAATCTTATGGAGAACTTACTTGATGGGGGGATGGAAGCGTTTTTGAGGAGTTTCTCAGATTGTCCGAATAATACATTAGAGTCACTGGATTTGTCTTTTAATTCGTTCACAAGCCAATTGCCGGCCTCCTTAGGAATATTAAAAAATCTGCGATATCTTAACCTTGGGAACAACTACTTTTGGGGCTCAATTCCTAAATCTATTGGAAACTTGTCGTTGTTGAAAACATTGGACCTGTCTTATAATCATATGAACGGGTCCATTCCAGAAAGTTTGGGACAACTCTCCGAGCTGGTTGATCTTTATCTGACTGCAAATTCATGGGCAGGCATGCTAACAGAATCCCATATGTTAAATCTCACCAGATTAAAATATGTTTCGATATACAGCGAGGAGCCCATGTCCCTCATTTTCAACGTGTCTTCTGAGTGGGTTCCTCCTTTCAAGCTCCACACAATTCTGATTAACTACTGTCGAGTAGGCCCTGCCTTTTCTGTTTGGCTTCAGTCTCAAACTGAGCTCATTGATGTCACCATTAGTAGAGCCGGATTCTCAGATTCCATACCAGAGGAGTGGTTCATGAAGATATCTTCGCAAGTTAAATCTCTGGATTTATCTTACAACCAATTCAAGGGAAGGCTTCCATTCCAACTGAAGTTTCCAGAGTTAAAATCTATAAATTTGGGTCATAACCAGTTTGATGGTCTACTACCACTTTGGTCCACTAATGCGACCGTCATTGATCTTGAAAGCAATTTGTTATCCGGGAAAATTCCCTCAAACATTGACGAATTGATGCCCAATTTGCGACAATTGTGTCTGTCGGAGAATCATTTGACAGGTATTATTCCACCCTCTATATGCAAAATCCACCATCTGATGGTCCTGTCGCTAAGAAGAAATTGGTTATATGGAGAATTCCCTCATGAGTGGAGTTTGTGGAGCATAATAACTGTTGTCGATGTTGCATACAACAATCTCTCTGGTAATGTTCCGACTTCAGTGGGTATCCCAAGGTCTCTTCAAGTTTTAAAGATGAACGACAACAAGTTCACCGGCGAAATTCCTTTTTCCTTGAACAATTGTTCTACTTTGAGGCGGCTTGATCTGGGAGGGAACAAATTCACGGGAAACCTGCCCTTATGGATTGGATCAAATGTATCAACATTGCAACTGTTACAATTGGGATCCAATCTTTTGAGCGGACAGATTCCCCAACAATTCTGCAGTCTCATCTACCTTCACATCCTCGACCTTGGTCACAACAACATTTCAGGTAGCATTCCAAAGTGTTTGAATAATATGACTTCTCTAGTGGATTCTGCTTCTCTAGGCGGTAATGATTCCAGTGAATGGTACCTCTATCGATATATATATGATGCGCAAACAACAGTCACATCAAAAGGGAGAGAACTCGACTATGGACGCAGCCAAATGCAATATGTAAAGAGCGTTGATCTTTCGTCAAATAATTTACAAGGTGAAATCCCCGAAGAAGTAAGCAGTCTCATTGAATTGGGCACCTTGAACTTGTCGATGAACCAATTAAGTGGAAAGATTCCCTCGAAGATTGGAAACTTGCGTTTGCTGGAAAATCTTGATCTCTCGCTCAACCACCTTTCAGGACATATTCCTCAAAGCCTTTCTTCTCTTACCTTCCTGTCTCACTTGAACTTGTCCTACAACAACTTGACAGGAAGAATTCCTACAGGCAACCAGCTACAAACGCTGGTTGACAAATCCATTTACGAGGGAAATCCATCATTGTGCGGTGCTCCTCTTTCAACTTCTTGCCCTGGAGATGAGACGCCTACAAGACAACCTTTGCATGTAGAAGACAACACAGATAAAGAAGAAAGGCTTTGGTTGTATGTCAGTGTGATACTCGGCTTTGTCGTAGGCTTCTGGGGAGTTTGTGGCACTTTAATAATAAAGAAGTCATGGAGGTATGCCTATTTTAGATTCTTCGACAACATCAAAGACAAGGCAGCCCTAGCAATTGCACTCAAAGCGGCTCGTTGGAGAAGGAGATGGGAAAAATAAAATGAAATGTTGGTAGTAATCGATGCCTAGCTGTTATTGTAATGTAATGTATGATACTACTATGCAATAAAATAAATCATGGACTTCCGATATGCATGCATGAAAAGTGATTTCATGTCACTTACGGAACATTATTTTCTCATGTTGTTTAGGATATGAAATTCCAAGCATATATATTTTAGTTAAGAGAAAGCTAGGTAGATTAATTCTTTAGATCAAATTTGCAAGAGATTTTTTAATGTGCTTGGAACATGGGCACATACGCCATTATATAAATGAAGGGACACTTGAAAAAAAAACTTTCTTCCACTTGTATAATAACATATGATGTACTGCCCGTGTTTCACACACATTAAAAAAATCTCTTCAATTTGAAAACCATGTGATGCGACTTCCTAGCTTACCCTTTGTTGAAATCACTTTCATAATGATAGACAAGAATGCGCGAGCGCTTCTCATCTTTTAATTAAAATCTTCAGTGTTTTTTGTTGGAAATTAGTTTTAAGTTTTATTGAGTTTACTTGTAGGCCAAGGAGTAGAGTTCCTTGTCCATTAAGTTTCAAATTTTTTTGCTCGTCTTGTCCAGCGAGGAAAGGCGACAGCGTCGGGGTGAGTCTTGATGCAAAGAGGCTTAGAGGATGGGAATTTATTTGTTACAACAATTAAAGAGTTGGACCGCTACAATGTTGTATTTTCTTCGCAACATGGTATGAATTACTGGCAAGGTTTTTCATGCTTATGAACAAAAAACTATCTGCCCAACCTTGCGTTACACCCTTTGCTCATGTCCACGAAAGGAAGGTATTACTTTCTTATAACGGCACTCCTGCATTTTCAAATTTCTCAAGGGTATCAATGGAAAATGATGGTTTGTTGCATACAATAACAGCAACATAGAGTTATAGACATTCTGAACACAATCAATGAAAGTGGAAATTGGCATTGTTTGAACACATACTATGGCCAAAAGATCACTTACTGGCGAGAATTTGAGTTTAGGAGAAACTAGCAAGAGTGCCCGCGCGATGCCGCGGGTTTTGAAACTGTACAAAATATGTAGAAAGTTATAATGTGTATATATACTATTTGCATACATGTGAAATCTATTTACAATCGTAAAAAAAGATTTCAACTTCGACATAACAAAAATAGTTTGCGGAAATCTTAGCAAGAAACAACTATATACATGAAGGGATCCCCTATAATGAATAGTTTGCACAACCCTAGATGATATAGCAAGAAATGAAGAACAAAACCTTTCCTTCTGTAAAAATGAAAGTAGTAATAACAACATTAGTTCTAGACATAATTAAAGTGTCGAATATAGGAGCATACTTATTAGCTATTGGATTATACCTCATCAATGACAAACAGCCAATTTCCGCACCATTTTTCTAGAGCTTCATAGTTGGCATAGTCTGGAGCTACGTAACAAATCTCTCCACTTCTTTGAGATAGTTTCGAACAATCTGTGGTTCCCATGGGACACCTTTGCTTAACATCTCAATGCCAAATCATCAGGAAATCCAAGAATAAGACATTGATGCAAAGATTCTCTATATTCCAAAAGATTGTTAAATAAAACCAACCACATACTCGAAACCAAAAAAGAGAAAAACTACATGCGTATAGAGCTATAGATAAGATAAAATTCAGTTCTTTGCAAAACCAAAAAAAATGAAATAAAAATAAAATCCAACGAAATAAAAGATGAGTATATGCAGTAATAGTCATATAGGAGTGAGTTCATCAGCTGTAATTTGGTATTTCAGATTGGCTCATTCATCATTGCTATAAAATTTCAATCATGGCATTCCCATTAAATTTCAATTTTGAAGTAACAACTCCACATTCCCCAAACTATTAAACCAAAACGCAACAAACTCACACCAAATTTTTCATTTTTTTCCGCATCTTTCAACACAATAAACACATTATGGACTGTTCATATCAACACGGATGGTATGATTATATTTAAAAGATAGCAAATTAGTAAAAAATAATAATCAAAACTTGGGAATTATGGTTGTTTAATTGTACCTAAGCTGCAGTAGTCCTTGTTGGTGTTGTGGTTGCTGGTGTTAATCAGCCTTTTAGGGAGTAGAAGACCTTCAATTATAGAGCAATACAGAACCTGGAATTAAATTTCAATTTCTCTTTGCATAGGACAGTTTAAAGTTTAAAGATTAAAATTCTACACACTTTCTAGCCCTAAATTTTCCCGGGAAACAAACGGAAAGTGATAGAAGTCATACCTAGTCCACGAGAGCAGACGCGATCGGCGAGTTTGGCGGATCATGCTGGCAGAGATGTCTGGTGAGAAAAGGAAAGCAAACAGGGGCAAACGCCCTATGCTCCATGGGTCGACTAAAATTGGGTACGGCTAAAAACCCAGAATTCAATCACTGAGAAAACATCAACAACCAAAATCACACCAAATTCATAAAATTTAAAAAAAAATATATGGGTTTTATTTTTCGGGTAGTGAATGAGTAAAAATACCACGAATGGTGCTGAGGACTAAATCAAACAACAGTAAAATTAAACCCTACTTTATTTATTTTTTAAATTCGAAAAAAGGAAGATGGTAATGATTTTTCTTCACAAACCTTTCTAACCCCATGAAGGGCGCTCCTGTCAAGTCCTTCAGTGAACATATCTCTTCTGGGTTCTTCCTTTACCTGCACAAAAAGTCAAAAAAATTAAAAACCCACAAACCAAAAACTGAAAAAAAAAAATCAACTTTTTTTCTCCAGAGATCCTGACAAAGAAGACTGGAGAGAAAACTGAAGAGATCTCCACTGTGTTTCTAAGAGAGAGGTCGAAACGAAGGAGACGTTGTCCAACGGATGAAGAGGAAAGAGGGAGGAACCTGGAGAATGAGGGAAGAACAGCGCATCGTTTCTATTGTTCCAGAAAAAAGATCTGCACAAATTTTGACTGGTTCTGTCGTTTTTAGCAAGAAAATGAGAGAGAAAACTTCATCGAAAGAACTCGAGAACGGCGATGGGAGGGGATGCCCTTTCTGAGATTAGCGAATGGAAAAGAAAATGGGTTTTTCCACTGCTTTCGTCGGCTTTCCACCACTTTTCTTTCCACGATGACCAACACGTGTAGACGTGGAGCTGAGAAAAAAAAAAGCGATTGCAGGAAATGGAAGGCAGAGAATGAAACAACAGAGAAATCCAACAGGAAAGGCCATTGATGAAGAATGCGTGGCCAGCCAGGACAAAGTGGTCATTTCACTGTGTAAAAGAGGCAGCACAACGGGAGATCAAGAAGAAACCGAGGGGCAAATTCGTCAAATCACTGTTAATGAACAGTGTTCAGAAACTGAGTTTTAGTATATATAATTTATTTGTGCATATAGTCAATTACATTGTTTTCTATGAGTGTAGGTTTCCATTTTTCGGGGTTATTTATAATAATATCAAAGAAACCATTTGCAAAGAGTGTTAATGTGAACCTCTTTGCACCCTACACAATAAACAAACGTTAACACTCTTTGCAAATGATTTTATTAATATTTTTATAAATAACCTCGAAAAAATAGAACTATACTTACAAAAACAACATAATCGATTATATGCACAAATAAATTTTTGCATACTCAAATTGTCTTTGCCCATCGTTATAGTAAGTGATATTTCGGCCATAGTATACGCTCTCAAACAATGCTGATTTCCACTTCCATTAATTGTGTTTAGAATGTCTACAACTCTACTCATGTTTTGTTATTGTGTGAAACATACCATCATTGTCCATTGATACTTTTACAAATTTGAAAATACAAGAGGGCCAATATAGTAAAGTAATGCATTCCCTTGATCTTCGACATGAGTAAACGGTAGATTGCAAGTGATATTAACTTTTGTAAACTTCAAAAGTTAAATACGCACAAGAAAAAAACACAGTTATAAAACTGTATAAAGTGTTAACAAAAGAAACTAAGAAAAAACAAAAACAGAAGTTCACCATCATAATTAAGAAAGAAAACTGCTAAATCTTTAGATACGGATGATGGACACACATATATAAGAGGGAGGGGAGGATTATATCCCCTCCTAATCTCTCTTACCATCTTTGTTTCTTTCTATTTGAATGACTACGGTTAAGTCACGTTAACATCTTATATTAATTTTTTTATAAAGATAAAAAGACAAAAAACAAAATGTGAGAGAAAGTGAGAAAAAAAAATAGAAATAGGAGAAAAAAAAAATCCGACTCCCCCTCTCGATGACCCTGCCTTGGTTTGGTAGGCAGCAAAGCCTTCACAAGGAAGGTGTCAAGCATGCGGTCCGTATAGAGTAGTGATGGAGCTTTCTATTGGCCACCCAACAAATATCTAATGCTTTGTCAAAGGGGTGTTTTTTTTTAAATTTTTTTTTAACCTCTCACTTTCTTGCTTTAGAAGGAAAATCTCATTTCTGCAGTTGCTTTCTCAATATCCAGATTCTTGAATAAAACCCATATTCGGCATGGTTCTTGCATTTATTCTAATTGGAAATTTTCAGGAATACATGGTCAAGTAAAAGTGGTATATAAGCCATTTGTTTTCAAAATCACAGTAGGAAATACTAGGAACAGTTTTTAGAAAGTCATGGAGTATATGATATTCCCCACACTCAATCTGTGTAATTTGGGACACAATTACTAGTGATTGGTTAAGGATGCGAAGAGGCATAAAGGATGAGGATTTATCTGTTACATTGATTGAAGTGGTAGACCGCTACAAAGTTATACTTTCTTAACAACGTATATAACTTATGTTTCCTGTGCTTATGAATTAAATATTACAGCCAAACCTTATCTCGGTAGTACTCTTAATATTAAAAGAAACCAATTTGTGTCCCTTGAAAAATAACTTTGTGTTACGACTTACGACTTACGAAAACTATTCATAACACAAAATCATTTTTAAGGAACACAAACTGATTTTTTATTTTATTTTTTAAATTCTAAGAGCACCATCGAGATTAGGTTTGGCAGATGGTATTTGATTCATAAGCATGAGATAACCTTGCTAGTAATTGATAACATGTTGCAAATGATTTATAACTTTGTAACGGTCCAACACTTCAATTGATGTAACAGATGAACCCCATCTCTTATGCCTCTTCGCATCACGCCAACCACTAATAATCGTGTGGCAAATTACAGATTCAGTACGGTGCTTGATAATTATCCTCTCGGTGCAATCAATATCATAACTCATAATCTTCTAAAAATTGTTCTAGTGTTTTTACTGTTGTTTTTTAAGACAAATACCTTATTGTTACTCAGTACTACGGTCTGGTGGTATTCCTCTTTACTTGGAAACGTTAAGAAATTTCGTAGATGACGAATTCAATACCAAATTAAGTTGCTCATTGTGTGATTTAGCCAAACTCTCCATCATTTTAACACAAAAATATATGGTTGTACTAAAAAAAATATATAAATACCTTATTAAATACCCTAGAGTAAATGCAAGAACGATGTCAAAAAGTTATAACTCAAACTCACAGCATTCACACCACAACTAAAAGCCATTAAAATTAATGAAAATTAAATTACGTACTAAACAAAAGGGTAATGTGAACACTTACACAAGAAGAATTACCATATATCTTCGTGCTTGGCCAATTATCCGACGTTTGATCCAAAGAGAGCTCAACTGAGAGTCGAAACATATAACAAGAAAATTATATAACAACCATACATACACAAATATATGGTATGAAAGAGAGTGAAGAATAATTAAAGTGAAGTACTTAACTCTTAAAACCGATAATGCAGTAGATGTTTTCCCTCATATTTTCCTTGTCGTTTCATAATCCATCAGTCTCACTATCTCTTGAATTGTTATATACGACGGACCGGACTCCTATTTCTTTTTGTTTTTGGGTAAAAACTGGACTCCTACTCTTTGGTGTAAAGTATGAACAGATCTAAGGTGTTGACAAAAGAAACCAAGCAAGAACAACAAATACAAGTTCACTATCATAATTAAGAAAGCAAACTACTAAATCTCTAGATTTGGATGATCGACACATATATGTACAAGGGGGAGAGAAAGTGTAGTAAGGCTTCCTGGACAATAGGCAACTCAATTCTCTTAAATAAACAGTAACTGCATGCAGTGAATAGTAACTGTCCAAGTGCATCTCCACCTCTAAACTAAATAGCTAGTCAATTTGTATTAAAATATTAGTATTTTTTATTTAGTTTAAGTACCTAAAACTCCCTAACCTTTTAGTGTCTTTCCAATTGACCTCAACCTTTTTAAACATTTCAAACAAATACTTCCTTACATCAACAACTCATCAAAACTCTTGCAGCTGAGATGAACTTGCATGGCATGGATATACAGCTACGCGTTTTGTGTAAATAATACAAGAATAATTGTTTTTTTTTCCTCACATGTTCTCATGTTATTAACATTGAATGCTAGCATGGCAGTGAACCTGAGCCATACAAGTTCTCTTTAAAGTTGGAACCGTTATAAAAAGCCAAGGTAATAAAATTGCAAATAACACCAATTATAGCCCTATCGGACTAAAGCATAGGTTTTGAGGGTAGGTCAATCTTAACCTCCAAGTCGGAAATGACACTAGTTTCAGAAATAATACAAACACTCTTGAGTACACGAAACGAAAAAAAGACTATTATTCACATTGCAGATAATATGATACCTCATAAGAGCGAGCAAAAACTATACACAAAACAGCCACCTGAAACTGTACAATTGACAAATTTCTTATACGTTCTAAGACTATTTAGATGTTCTGCAATAATCCGTGTCAATAAATCCTGCAGTTTACAGTTGAGTCTCTATGAATGCCAAAATTGCCAAACCAGATGCCCAAACATCGTCGTCCAATACATGCTCTTCAGGGGAGTGACTTACGCCTCCTCGACAGCGCACGAAAAGCATTCCCACCTGTTCACAAGTTCTCAGGCCAGAATTGTCCACAAGAAAATAAAACAAACAATAACATGGTTCATGATTCATAATTCTCTGGAAAATGAAAACAAACCTTGGTTAAATGAGATAGAGCCATTGCATCGTGTCCTGCTCCACTCATTAACACGGGAATTTCATCCTCAATGGCTGCACCTGTCATTCTCTTGAGCCCGATATATGCTGCAGATTTCAGCTTTGAACTCAACTCAGAATCACAAATGGCTGCACCTGCATCATGCTGAAAAATACAAACCATATAATGTTAACAGTTAAGCTTCCTGCAAAAAGATTAACTAGGATAGGAAAGTCCCTTACCTTACGATCAATTGTACAAGAAACAGAGCGTCTATCACAAATTTGATACACTTGGTTAGAAAACTCATACACAACAGCTTCACGTCCCATGTCATCTATCGTACGTAAATCTACGGTGAATGTTACCTGAAACCAAGAGTTTCATTTTCATTACAGATGTTAAGAAGTGAATGATAACTAACCACCTTTGGGCTGGTTATCAAATTTGACAGTGTCGTGAGGTGAACTTCTTGCCTGGCCAGGAATGACGTTGCTTGCACTCGGCCAAGTTGATATCTCTCCAACAGTACAAACAAGCGAAGCTGAAAGCGACTCCATCGAGAAACTTTTGCATTGACCATCAAAAGACAAAAAATCTTGAGGGCTTTTACATAAGCTTTCTAATGAATAAATTGCTTCAGCAGCAGCAGCCATAGGGTCACGACGCATAGACATTGGAACTGTTCCAGCATGCCCCTGGGAACCTCTCATCGTAACCTACAACATTTATGCATATCAAACTGCTCAATCAAGATAAGAAGCTAAAATTGCAACAAGACGTCGATGATCAAATAAAGTCTATATTACTTGTAAAGAGCTTCCGTGCAAATCTCTTATTGACTGAGTTTTGCCATAAAATTTTACAAGATTGTACCCTTTGTGAGCTGTACACATATATGTAGTTCATGATACTCATCCAATTTTTCATATATTATGTTTATCTCGATTTTGAATTGCCCACGAATTCCAAAAATAATATTCAGCCACAAAATAGAATTACTCACTATATAAGAATTATCTTCTTTTTCATAAAAAAATGGACCACAATTTAGATATGATGCAACTATGCAAACGGAAATATTTCATAATCGTATACCTTTATTCGTGTCTGTCCAGCTATGCCTTTAACCACAGCTAGAGGAAAGCCAACCCATTCTAGTACAGGTCCTTGTTCAATATGAATCTGCAACATGAATATTGAGGGTCAAATGCTAGAATAACTTATAAGGCGATGATACTAATACAATACAACCAGCATAGGTCACCGTACCTCAACATAACCCCAGACCGACTTTGGGTCATATTTAAGCTGCAACAAGTGCT